GGGGTTTTTGGTGTGATATTTTTTCCAGTGCACTGCTCGACTCGCACGCCCCGAATATAAGGACAGTGGGGCGCATGTGCGCGACGGGGATGCGACAGGCGAGCCGGCCGCGAACCATAGCCCTGCCGCCGGCCGGGCGATCCCCCGAGACCGCGCGGGGGAGGGCGGGGAGGGCGAGGGGAGGGCGAGGGGAGGGCGAGGGGCGGCTAGCTTTCCACCCCGCCAACTCCGATGTTGTCACTGCAAGCGGCGAGACGCGACAGTCAACTCCCTCCCCTCCCCCCGTCACCGCGGCGTGCACTGGGTCATGCGTGCCTGCCGTGCCTCGCCGGCCGAGCCGTGACGTACCCGAAGTGACACAGTCGATTCCGCCTAACCTGATCTCCGCGTCGCCCCACGGCGTGCACCGCCGGCGCGGCGCCGAGGCACGGCGTCAGCGGAGGGTCGCCTTACATTGTCTCGAAACATTATTAAAATCGTACGGGTCCCGATCAAAATGGTGGAACTGATTACACCACAAATTTTGCAGGGACTCTTACGCACTTACGTCTTTCTGTGTACCTACTGTGTTGCATATTATTAAAAGTAAAAAAAACTTGTTGATAGCTGCAAACATTTTTCCAAATTTGCACTGTGAAAAATATCGTCGTAAATTTACAAAAAATGTGTAAACTCGAATTATAATTTAAGTTGTAAATTTACGACAGCACAGTATTTACTCGCCAAGGGATTTGAAGTAGATACATACTGCATGTATTTTTACGATTAAAAATTGTAATTTTACAACTTACGTCAATTTTCCTGTAAACCTACCAACTTTTTTTCACAGTGTTGTTTATAATTGCGTACAGTACATTGAACAAATGTGCAATAGCGGAGGTATACAGTACCTAAGATGTGTGCAGAAAAAAATTCATGTCAATTTCGTGTGTACGTGGTGCTCTGCCCGGACCTAGGCAGGTTAGAGGGTTTTTCAGCCCCATTTCGCCGAGCGCCACGCACAACACTGGTGCGGGGGTTCGGTAGGGAGTGGGGGGCCGGAGCTAGAGCCTCTACCGTTCCGCGCTCCACAGGCAGAGGAGGTAACCGATCGACAAAGGCACAAATAGAGCGATCCTCCGGAGCTCCTCGGCGGCGTGTTTGGCCCATTGGAGGCTGGGCGCCGCGGCGCTCCCCCCATACGCGTAATGAGAGCCCCCGCCCCCTAAGGTGATTATTTTCGGGAGCAGTAGTGGTTTTGTGTGTGAGAGCCTGGGCTCGGGTCGGGCGCGACGCCCCCCGCCGTACCCCGCGCTCCGGCGCGCTCAGGCGCGGGGTGTCTCCGACACGCCTAGACTTGGGAGAGTTAGCAACCCCTCCGTCCATTCCAG